TCCCAACTGACCAGCTCCAGGGCGACAGCTACGACGGCTACTGCGACAACCCCAGCTAGTATACCACTCACTAAGCTGCTGGGGCGTCAGAGGCTCGCGTGAATGTCGCTGGAGCTGCATCTGGCCACCTGCCAGTAGCAGTAGCAGCAGCAGTAGCGCGGGCAAGGCAGGCGCGGCAGGCAGGCAAGCAAGCAGGCAGGCAGGCAGGCAGGCAGGCCGGCAGGCAGGCAGGCAGACAGGCAGGCAGGCAGGCAGGCAAGCAGACAGACAGGCAGGCCGGCAGGCAGGCAGGCAGGCCGGCAGGCAGGCAGGCAGGCAGGCAGGCAGGCAGGCAGGCAGGCAGGCAGGCAGACAGGCAGGCAGGCCGGCAGGCAGGCAGGCAGGCAGACAGGCAGGCCGTCAGGCAGGCAGGCAGGCGCTCACCAAAGGCTGGGAGAGCAGGCGCTCACCGGGCGAGCAGGGCCGGCGCTCGACGGGCGGCGGCCGAGTAGGCGCACGACAGCGGCGGCGTCAGTGCCGCAAAACCGGCTGCAGAGCAGGGCCGAAGCAGCTGCAGGGCGGGGCCGCTTCAGCGGCAGTAGCAGGGTGGGGCCGCGTCAGCGGCAGGTCGGGGCCGTGGCAGCTGCAGGGCGGGGCCGCATCAGCGGCAGGTCGGGGCCGTGGTAGCTGCAGGGCGGGTCCGCATCAGCGGCAGGTCGTGGCCGAGGCAGAGGGCCGCGCGCGGCTCGGCGCGGGCTGCGCTGAGCTGCTGCAGGCCGCGCGCGGCGCGGGCTGTTGCGGGCCGCGCGCGGGCCGCGCGAGGCAGTAGCAGGCCGCGCGCGGCTCGGCGCGGGCTGCTGCGGGCCGCGCGCGGGCCTCGCGAGGCCGTAGCAGGCCGCGCGCGGCTCGACGCGGGCTGCGTGGGCTCGGCGCGGGCTGCGCGCGGCAGCTGCGGGCTGCATGCGGCTGCAGCGGGCTGCGCGCGGCTCGGTGCGGGCTGCGCGCGGCTGCAGCGGGCTGTGCGCGGCTCGGCGCGGGCTGCGTGGGCTCTGTGCGGGCTGCGCGCGGCTGCAGCGGGCTGCGCGCGGCTCGGCGCGGGCTGCGCGGGCTCTGTGCGGGCTGCGCGCGGCTGCAGCGAGCTGCACGGGCCTTACGGGCCCCTAGGGGCGGCGCGTGGGCCTTACGGGCCTCTAGGGGCAGCGCGCTGGCCTAGGGCAGCAGGAGGCAGCGCTAGGGCTGCTGGACGGCGCACATAGTGCAGCACGGCACAAGGCAAGGCAAGGCAGGCAGGTACGTGGGGTAGCGCGGTAACCGCAGCGGTAGGTGGGCCCGAAAAAAAAAAAAACGGTCCTACGGACCTTAGTGCTCTGAAACCATGTCAGAATCTAGCAGCAGGAATGGATGAACTAGCAGCATGCAGGAGTACAAGTAGTAAACCCTAATTGGGCTGTACCCCATATGGGCTACCCCACTACAGCCTAGAAAATATGCAGCATATATGTTTGACAAACCTTACCAGGTATGGAGACGAGGACTCAGAAGAATCAAAGCGACGCAAGCAACCGTCAGATCGAGATCGATGCATGCAACATTCCAGTGAAAAGGGCGAAAACATATGAGAAACGGGTTCCCGCAGTGTACGGTTTGAATTTCGCTGTAATAATTGAGTGTACCCCTTACAGTACATGGCTAGCTAGGATGCATCATTTTCCATGTACTTCGTATTTCGCTCGATGTATGCATTGCTATTATCATTTCAGTCATTTACATTCAATCTGACATGATGCCGCCACTTCCACTATGTAATTTACCTGCAAAGAACCCCGGGCCGATCCTTGGCTAAGCCCTGTTCAAGATTTTAACAAAAGCCACCACATTTGTCGCTGATGCCGTAGAAAAAGGTCCACCAAACACCGCAAAACACGCCATGGAGGGCCACGAATGTGCATCGTAAGTGTAAATGTTCACAGAACGGTTGTTGACCGTCACGCATACAATCCCACATTTTTTACCTACGTTGCTAAACGTATGTCGACGTGAAGACTACCCACTAACTCTAGACAAATTTCCTAGATTAGAGAAAGCAACTGAAATGTTGCAAGTATGGGATGTGGAGATATTAGTGCGCATCTTGAAGTAGGAAAGACACAGCTTATTGGTATATATGTATCCCAAAGCTACACTAGGAGCTGTGGACGATTGAAATTGAGCACAATTGCATCTCGATGTTTCTGTATGCGAAAGCGGGAATTGGCTTCGCGTATTCACACGTGTTGTGTGTCAATTGGCAATGGCTGGAAAAGTCAAGCTGCTTGTGGGTTGGTCGTGCTTCTTAGCGAAAGGTGTCTAGTAAACGAGTCCCCCTAACCGCTGAGGGAGGTTCCGATAATGTGCCTCTTTTGAAGTCACGCGTCGCCTTGCGTCCCTGGTGTTACAAACGTACAATCTGCCGGAACTGAGACACTGGGCAGCGTGAACATATTGAAATTTGTGTTGACGGGATGTTTATCGCTGAATGAACGAGTTGCAGTAGTGTATCGCCGCAGCAAAAACTCTCACATATTCTGATTATGCGAAGTCTCGCAACCTCCCCATAACTCCTAGATTTTTCGTTTACTGGATCGCGCCGTGCTGAATACAACCTGAAAAAATATTTCGTGGGTGCTCACTCGATTCGCCCTTACACCCTGGGTAGTCCTGATCGCGCTTCGATTTCTCCAGCCATTGAAATGAACCGCGATTAGACTATCCAGGGCGCTATCGTTACTATCGCTATGAATCCAGCCCGCCATACGATGACGACTCATACCGAATTACCCCTTGCTAAGGCCGCTCATGCGGTACGCCCTGTCTCGCGGTTCCCTACAGAAAGCCATATAAATCTGCATCTCTAAGTACCACCAGCCATCAGTTCTTCATACCTTTCATCTCCATCATTCATTCAGTGTCTAAGTGCTGCTGGCGGCCCTTACCCAGACTTACATTTCCCACCTCTCTCTTCCATTCCGTGGTAATCTAGTGGACTCTTGTGAGCTCGTTCTCTTCGCGATGCAGCTCGCTTCAATAAAACGGGCTGCGATATGGGTATTAGCTGGACTAGGCATCGCGCTGGCGGTTATCTCCTGCTGCGAGATGGCGGACAATTATCTCGTCCTCTCCCACCCTGACGCCTGCATCGCGTCGTCCAACCGAACCCACTGCGTGGCGGAGTTTCGCGTGGCGCGGCGATCCCTAGGCGTGGTGCCGCAGACGCCGGAGCAAGTGACCTCAGCCATGATCGCGGCGGTGCAAGCGCAAGTTGCGGCGCTGGTTGACGCGGCCGGTGAGATTAAATCAAGCAACGTGCGCGACGACCATTTCATAAACGCCATGGCGAGGAGTTGCGCGCGACAAGCCAACATTGCATTGCGCTACCTCGGGCAGGCGGGGGATGCGGTCGAAGCGGGCACGAATCAGCGCGACGTGCCGTACTGGTTGGCGGCCGCCGATACGCAGATTGACAACTGCGTCGACGGTTTCCAGACTTTCTCGCCCGCAGCGCAAGGCTTCCCCGCTTACGTACATCTCGAGGTTCGTAACAATCCTATTTTCAAAATCGGAAGCACAGTACTATCACCAAGGGCCGCATTCAGATTCAATCGCTAAAAATTCCTGTTTCGACCACCCAAAAGCTCCCTTGTCTCGCACCTTTTCAAGGGAAACTGCACCTTTGCTCGGCGCAACAGCAACGCTGGTTCATTCGTTCTTTCTCCCTTCTCCCATCCCCCCGCTCCCCCGCTTCTCTTCCCGCAGTACACAGCCAAGAAGGCGGGTAGCACGCTTGGCGCTCTCGTTTCAATCACCAACGCCGCCGCAAAAGCCGCTGTTACTAGCGGAGGCGATGAAGTGGCTGTGCGTGGACGCAGCATGGCCGTTCAATCAAGCAGCCCGGATTGGCTTGAGCCGGGCTTGTACGAGCAACTGCAGGAGCTTCAAACGAGGCTGAATGCCGAACTTGCCGTTGCGGACGGGGAGGAGTCGGAGGGCGGTGCTATCTGGAGGAGGCAGCTCCGCCACCGCCACAACAAGAAGAAGAATAAGAAGAGCAGCAACAGCGGCAGCAGCAATACCCCAAGCAAGAGCAGCAGCAGCAGCAAGAAGAGCAGCAAGAAGAGTAGCAAGAAGAGTAGCAGCAAGAGTGGTAACAAGAAGAGTGGGAAGAAGAGCGGAAAGAAGAGCGGAAAGAAGAGCGGAAAGAAGAGCGGAAAGAAGAGCGGAAAGAAGAGCGGAAAGAAGAGCGGAAAGAAGAGCGGAAAGAAGAGCGGAAAGAAGAGTGGCAAGAAGAGCGGGAAGAAGAGCGGGAAGAAAAACGGCAACAAGAAGAGCGGCAGCAAGAACGGCAGCAACAGCGGCAGCAACAGCGGCATCAAGAAGAGCAGCAAGAAGACCGGCAAGAGCAGCAGCAACAAAAGCAGCAAGAGCGGCAACAAGAAGAGCGGCAAGAAGAGCGGCAAGAGCAGCAGCAAGAAAGCGTCACCGAACGGCGGCGCAATGGTTGCCGGCCCGTCTCTTGCGGCCAGCGCGACCGTCGGGAAGGGATACAAGTCGATCCAAGACGCCGTTGACGCCGCTCCTGGCGGTTCGCGATTCGTGATTTACATTCCTGCGGGAACGTACAAGGAACAGATAGTGATTGACACGACGGATATCGTTCTGATTGGTGCGGGCGCGGACAAGACGATTATTACGGGCGACGCGAGTTATGGCAGTGGATCCGGTACCTTCGAGTCGGCTACAGTTGGGGTGGACAGCGACAGGTAATGCCACCCTTTCCCCTTTCTGCCGTGATGTCTTTCACGCCTTGCCCATCTCTATCATCCCTCTCTGCCCCTTTCTCACCATTACCTCTCATCCCTTACTGCCCTCATTCCTTTCTACCCCCCTTTCTTGATTCCTCTAACCCTCATCGTTCTCTCGGCTTCCCGTTTTTCTCTTCCCTGCCCTTACCTCATGTACCCACCTGCCTGGTAACCACGCAACAGGTTCGTCGCCTTCGGGATCAAATTCGTCAACACGGCAGGTCCCGAGAATCACCAAGCAGTTGCGTTCCGCGCCACTGGTGACCAGACAGCTCTTTTCAACTGCGCGTTCGAGGGATCGCAAGATACATTGTATGTAGACGCGGGTCGGCAGTACTACAAAAACTGCTACATTGGCGGCACGCAGGACTTCATTTTCGGCGACGCAGCTGTGGTTATTGATGCGCCGAAGATTCAGCTGCACCCAAGCCCCTCTTTTGGAACGCTAACGGCGTCGGGACGCAGTAAGGATACGCCTACCGGGATTGTGATTCGCGATGCGAATGTTGCAGCGGACAGCGGTACTTCCAGGGTGTATCTGGGCCGTCCGTGGAAGAAATGCGCCTTCACTGTGTTCATCAACGCCAATCTCCCCGCGGTAAACATCTCCACTTCCCGTTTCATCTGCCTGCTCAAGTTCCACCTACCCATCCCCCATCCCCTCTCCTTCCTACTGCCCATCCCCCTCCTTCCCACCACCCATCCCCCCTCCTTCCCACCTGCCCATCCTCCCTCCCTCCCCGCCCATCCCCACTCCGCATCGTCACTCCTTCACCTTCCCACCTATTTTAAATCCCACCCCCATCACTCCCCATGCCTGATCCCCCCATCTCCCATTCCCTCAGGTGATTGAGAAGGATGGCTGGCTGTCGTGGAACGAGGGCAGCTGCATGTTCCTGGCGGAGGCCGGCAGCAAGGGCCCTGGTGCTGCGTCTTCCCGGGTGGACTGGGCAAAGCCTGGAATTATCACGGACGTCAGTGGATACGACGCCAACAGTTTCACGGAAGTCAACAGCTGGCTCAGCCTGTCGGGCTAGTATTTATGTTAGCAGTATTAACGTATTTATGTCAGAAGCAGCAGCAGGAGTTTCAGTAGCGGTCATGAGCACTGGTAGGTGGTGGCCGCGGAAGCGCCAAACCAGTTTGGGAGTTCATTGCTATGAGGAGTCTGTTGGAAGGTCAGTGATGCACCTGCACAGGCTCTTAGCAGGACTTTGTCTTGTAAATTTTTGTTTGACTTGGTGTACCACCAAAATGGAACATAACATTGCTTATTAGTTGGTACATATTTTTTGCTCCATTCACCATAGCAGACAACATTGTATTTTCACACTTCGTGCATTTTTATTTCGCCTATAGCACTTACACAATCCCTCCCACCCTCTAGAGGAGAAGCCAGGTGTAAAAATTTGCTGTAGCTCATTTGGCCTTCTGCAGCAGAGCTGGTTTAGTATTATATGTGCAATCGAAGCATTCACTACATCGTGAGTTTGGACTGACACCTTCTGCTCAACCTCACACGTGACGCATTTCTAATGGCTCGACCGTCGTGGGTCAGCCACCCAATCGGCGGAATCGTAAAAGCAAGAGAAAAAGCGCGCGAACTGGAATTCGCGTTCCCGTTGCGGGGGTAACCTGTGCAACGATTTGTTCTGTGAAGTTCGCCGACACTACTTACAAGGGATTGGGACGATCAACTGACAAATCTCTAGGTTTCCTTGGAGATTCAGGTCAACAATAGATTCACTTGCGCAGTGTGGTTTTCTAGGAGCCTACATCATTCAGTCATAAGAACTAACAGCTCTTCGTGGTAATTGCTTGTACGGCTTCTAGGAGGCCATCAGACGCATTCGACGGGTTTTAGGTGGCACGAATCTAGTACGTCCTTAACGATTTTCATGGCTACTCACCTCGAGTACAGCCTGCCAGCTTAGACAAAGGTATCTTACAGTCGAGAAGCGCGGGATAATGGATTACCAGGTGTTTTTAGTCAGGCTGCCTGGCCATACGAGGCCCACCCGTAACATATCTAGGCTACTTAGGGTATCCGAGCAAGGAATTTCTATATCAACCCTAACTCCTGCGAATCCGACGATTCTAGACTTCACCTTCGAGCAGATCGCGAACCTCCGTTGCTCGGAATCGGACGGTCAGGAATTCTCGTTCGATGTAGCCGGAATCTCGCACACATATGCGTGTTCGACTCGAGAGCTTCTTCTCACATCTCTGTACAACAGACTCGACGAAGTCAATGGCATTGGTACGTCATGTCATTACGAGGGATCGTTCAAACTGGCCACTTGTGTTTGCCAATACTTGTATTGTCTCAAAGCCTTTGAACTTAGATCCTGGAAAGTGAAAATTCCCGTATAACTGCGGTATTCATCGATTTTTTCTTTATCCATGTATAGTCACCGCGTCTGATGTTTTGCCATTCTGAGATTGCCTTCAATGCATGGATTTCGTTGCCCGTAAATTTGATGCGATTTGATTTGATACGATTCGATTTGACTTTAATACAGGAACCGACTTCCCTGTGCGGAAGGCCAGTAACCATCGCGGCGAGTATACCGAGGTCGTGCTGCGAGTCCGGAGCGCGTCGCTCGTCAAGATGGTCGCCGCTGGCGTTCGCCACGAGCGACAGACGGTGAGTCATCTGCGATCGTCGGACGGTGAGTGACAATAAACCGAGTTGACTTCTGAGTCAACTCAGAAGTCAAGATGATCGCCGCTGGCGTTCGCCACGAACGACAAACGGTGAGCCAGTCGCTCGCGCGCGACGGACGGTGAATCAGTTGCGAGAAATGGCTAGTCAGGTACGGAACAACAGATAATATATCAGGAACCAGACGTGAGCTGAACGCCACTGGAAAGTTTCGCAATCATACGTACACGAACGCAGTGCAAGAGAAGATTTCGTGCGTGTGCTAGGCCCCTCAAGCATTCGAGCTTCAATCGGTCCGTGGTCGTTTGTTGAATCTGAGCCGGTAATATGAAAATTTATGTGAAGGTGCCTGGTTGAGTTATTGTCGATTGTTTACTCCCCTTTCCCCATCCCCCTCCCCCCTCTCCCCATCCCCCTCCCCACTCTCCCCCGTTCCCCCTCCCTCTCCCCCTCTCTCCGCTCCCCCTCCCCCTCTCGCTCCCTCCATTCTCCCCCTTCTGTTCATGTTGCGCCGTTGGTTGACCCCAGGCGAGCAGCATGAAGAAGATCATCCTGGTGGACGAGATGAAGATTGAGACGGCAGGCGAGCGAAAAGCTTGTTATGCCGTCGACCTATTGATAGCCTTCGTTTTGTCCTCTATGTGATGCCGTTATATGACCCCAGGCGAGCAGCATGAAGAAGATCAATCTGGTAGGCGTGATGAAGATCGAGACGGCGGGCGAGCGGGATGAGCAGAGCAGGTGCTGCTGCATTGCAAGCCAATATATGAGATACGCTATCTGAGCCTGTCTTTTCCCCTCCTCAGGCGAGCAGCATGAAGAAGATCAACCTGGTGAACTTGATGAAGATTGAGACGGCGGGCGAGTTAAAGACTTGTGAGGCACGTATTATATAACCGTTTGTACCCCTCTCTGTGACGCTGTGATGTGACCCTCTCAGGCGAGCAGCATGAAGAAGATCAACCTGGTGGACGTGATGAAGATCGAAACGGCGGGCGAGCGGGACGAGCAGGTGCTGCTGCACACCAAGTCGCGCGTGTGGCAGCTGCTGGTGGACGGCGAGTCAGACCAGTTTGCTTCCACCGTGCAGCGCAATGCCAAGGTGTGACGGAGGGAAAAGGTGGCATGATGACATCTCGAGAGGAGGGAAAGGGCGAGGGAGACGAGCCTAGTCGCGTGTGTGGCAGCTGCTGGTGGACGGCGAGTCGGACCAATTTGCTTCCACGGTGCAGAGGAGTGCCAAGGTGAGATGGAGGGAGGTGGCACGATGGCATGCTGAGAGGAGGGAAAAAGTAAGCGGGACGGGACGAGCAGGTGCTGCTGCACACCAAGTCGCGTGCGAGTCTGTTGCGCGTGTGGCAGCTGCTGGTGGACGCGAGGCAGACCAATTCGCCTCCACCGTGCAGAGGAATGCCAAGGTGAGATGGAGGGAGATGGCGAGAGAAGGACCGTTTGAGGGAGGTGGCACGATGGCATCTGGAGAGGAGGGAAAAGGCGAGGGAGAGGAGCCAAGTTGCGTGTGTGGCAGCTGCTGGTGGACGGCGAGGCGGACCAGTTTGCGTCCACCATGCAGCGCAATGCCAAGGTGAGATGGGCGGACAGGTGCATAGGAATGCGAGGGTGAGATTCACGGACAGGAGCAGCTGGATCAGGTGCTGCTGCACACCAAGTCGCGCGTGTGGCAGCTGCTGGTAGATGGCGAGTCGGACCAGTTCGCTTCCACCGTGCAGCGGAATGCTAAGGTGAGACGGGCGGACAGGTGCAGAGGGATGTGAAGGTGAGACTCACGGACAGGGGCAGCTGGATCAGGTGCTGGTGTTTACAGAGTCGCGCGTGTGGCAGCTGCTGGTGGACGGCGAGTCGGACCAGTTCGCGTCCACCGTGCAGCGCAACGCCAAGGTGAGGCAGGACGAGGTGAGAGGATGGGCGAGGTGAGAGGGGCGCGGAGGGAAGAAGAGCGGGGTGAGGGGGAAGGCCAAAGTGGGAGGCAGGCCGAGGCAAAGTGAAATGCGGTGTGGTGAGGTGGAGGTTGGTGGGTCCTTGGAGGAGAGCAGCAGGAGCAGGTGGTGCTCCATACAGGAGCAGGCGTAGTGGGATGCAGTCAAGCTTGGATGTAGCAGTGACAGTTGCATGCAGCAGCTGATTGTATGTGTATGCAATCAGTGTTTTATCAGCTTGCTGGTTTCGTTGTTGGTGCTCGTGCCGTGCGCTGAATAAGGTGCAAGGCATAACTGCTCAGCTGTTTTCTGTGCTATGTGTTAAGTAAGGTAAATGGCATAACTACTCATCTGTTTTCTGTGCTATTAAGGTGCAAGGCATAACTGCTCAACTGTTTTCTGTGCTATGTGTTAAATTAACAGGCATAACCACTCAACTGTTTTTTGTGCTGTCTGTTAATCAAGGCAAAAGGCATAACCGCTCAACTGTTTTCTGTGCTTTGTGTTTAAATAAGGTAAATGGCATAACCACTCAACTGTTTTCTGTGCTGTGGGCGCTCGGGATTGTTTTCTGCGTGCATTGTTTGATGGTGTGTGGTGTGGCGTGGTGCTGTGGTGTGGCAGATGTACCTGCAAAAGCACATCCCAGTGCAGCGAGTCACGGGGGAGGAGATCCTCATGGTCACCAACGCAAGGGCTGAGTCGCTGGTATGTTGTCTTGTTTGACGTGCTTCCAAAATCGCCTTGTGAGGCGCCTAGTCATCTGGTTTTGCAAAAGCACATTCCAGCATCAGGGAGGATATTCCGTCATACCCCGGATAGAAGCGCCCCTGGGGGTATAAAAAAACACTGTTTTTTAGGGGGTGCGCTTATAATCGAGGAATTTTATACGCGCCGGCGCTTATAATTTGACAAAAAGAATGTCTAATTGTTTTTCACCACACTGTAGATCTCGTTCTGCCTATTGTAATCGAGTCGAAAACATATAGGGTCGCAAATCTGATTCTCGCGCAGCTTGGCAGGGAGTGATTCCCTGCCAGCTCAAACTGACAGAATGACAGCACATGCTGACTAGACGCGCAAGAACTGAGATCGGAGTGTGGGAAATCGAAATTGTGTTCGTTTCCCTGATAATGTGAAATTCGTTTCTGTATTTCGACATATTTTCAAATGAAAAACCAGCATGCGCTTATAATATATCATTTTGTTCTGGGGGGGTGGGCTTATATTCGAGGACCGGATATAAGCGCCGTCATCCTTTTATAAGCGCCGGCGCTTATCCTAGACATGCGCTTCTATCCGGGGTATGACGGTTCTAATGGTCAACAATGCGAAATTGGAGTCACTAGTAAGCTGCCCGCCTGCTTCTCCCCTACCTTTTATACTGTACGAGTTCTCAGTGGTGAACAACCCGATCCTGGCAGCTGCAGGAGGAAAGACTTCTGATGGGTGTTCGCCCTTCTCCACCCTTCTATCCTTAACCCCGTCCCTTCCTCGACCCCCGCCCCTCCTCTGCAGTGCGCGCTGTGCTGTACGAGTTCTTGGTGATGAAGAACAAAGCTCAAAGCAGAAAGAGGAGAGGATCCTGATCAGATTCTCCTATGGCCTCCTCTCCTTCTCATGATTTTTCCTCCTCTTCCCTTTGCCCCTCTCGGCAGCGCGCGTCCCCTGTGCTGTACGAGTTCTCGGTGGTGAAGAACAACGGCCCTGCCAGCGGCATGCAGAGGGAGAGAAGCGGATGCCCCTTGTGGTGTCCTGTCAGGCGGTTGCTCACCATCCCCCTCTCTCTGCACACCTTCCCCCCCACCAGCGCGCGTCCCCTGTGCTGTACGAGTTCACAGTGGTGAAGGACCCTGCCAGCGGCATGCAGAGGGAGAGAAGCGGATGCTCCTTGTGGTGTCCTGTCAGGCGGTTGCTCACCATCCCCCTCTCTCTGCACACCTTCCCCCCCACCAGCGCGCGTCCCCTGTGCTGTACGAGTTCACAGTGGTGAAGAACAACGACCCTGCCAGCGGCATGCAGAGGGAGAGAAGGGAGTTTATCATGGTGTCCTGTCAGTCGCCTCACTTGCGTATCACTCTTTCCTCCTGTCCGATGCCCTTCGAGCAGCGCGCGTCCCCTGTGCTGTACGAGTTCTCGGTGGTGAAGAACAACGACCCTGCCAGTGGCATGCAGAGGGAGAGGACTCTCGTGCTGACCAAGGAGTTCATGGCGGAGATGACTGGCAGCCACGTGATCGCGTTGCACAGGTGAGAGACTAGAGCTGTGTAAGGGGTGTGACTATAAAGGGAGGGTGTATGGTGTTGAGAAGCAACAATCCTGCCTGCGGCATGCAGAGGGAGAGGACGCTCGTGCTGACCAAGGAGTTCATGGCGGAGATGACTGGCAGCCACGTGATCGCGCTGCACAGGTGCGTGAGAGCACTGTAACCGGTGTGACTATAAGGGGAGTAGGTGCATCAGTGGTTGGGCGTGAGGACGCTCGTGCTGACCAAGGAGTTCGTGGCTGAGATGACTGGCAGCCACGTGATTGCGCTGCACAGGTGAGAGATGAAAGCGTTGCGAGGGGTGTGGGTATAAGGGGAGGTGCCAACTAACAACTGATCAAGGAGTTCATGGGGGGGATGACTGGCAGCCACGTGATTGCGCTGCACAGGTGAGAGATGAGTTGAGAGCACTAAGTACGATCTGGTGCATGAGTGTGAGCATGTGGGCGCCAGCTGAACTGACCAAGGAGTTCATAACGGGGATGACTGGCAGCCACATATTCTGGTGTACCGAACGTGACCGGGTTCCTGCATTAGGCTGTGGTTGTTAGCAGAGGGTAGAACGTGCAGGTGCCGGTGAGGAAGGGGTGGGTAAATCCGAGAACAAGAGCGAGGTGACATTGGAGCTGAGTGGGTGGGACCTTTTGAGGCGCCTCAAAAGTGGAAGGGGTGGGTAAATCCGAGAACAAGAGCGAGGTGACATTGGAGCTGAGTGGGTGGGGCCTTTTGAGGCGCCTCAAAAGTGGAAGGGGTGGGTAAATCCGAGAACAAGAGCGAGGTGACATTGGAGCTGAGTGGGTGGGGCCTTTTGAGGCGCCTCAAAAGTGGAAGGGGTGGGTAAATCCGAGAACAAGAGCGAGGTGACATTGGAGCTGAGTGGGTGGGGCCTTTTGAGGCGCCTCAAAAGTGGAAGGGGTGGGTAATTCCGAGAACAAGAGCGAGGTGGTAGTGCAGCTGAGTGGGTGGGGGTAGAGTTGAGCATGAGCCCCGTTCGGGTCGGGCCGACCCGACCCGACCCGTGTATTTTCACGGGTCGGGTCAGATATTCGGGATCCCAGACCCGAGCAGGCCGACCCGGCCCGACCAGCGCAATGGCTCGACCCTAGGGGCAATTTCGGGTCGGGCCGAGCCCGGTTTCGGGTCGGGCCCGACCCGACCCGAAATCGGGTCGGGCCAGACGCGCGACCCGATTTCGATAGGGCTAGGGCCGAAACCCTAGCCCTAATGTAAATCGATCGAGGCATTTTCTCCCCCGATCGATTTACATTAGCCACTCACGCTAAGCCAGCAGCAGCACTTCCTAAGTACCCCCCCTTAGCTACCAACTACCTAAGGCATCACCCCACAGTATGAGACTCCTTTATTTATACTTCTAGAAACACGTTTTAGGCAGCTCTTAGTACATTTCGCGGCGGTCAGCTTGGTAGTCTTTAGGGTTTCTGAAGATCAAGCGTTTTTTCTACTACCATTCAAGCCTACATCTACCATGGCGTTTCCAAGATATTAGACTAGTTTATCTACACCCGCTGCACCATTCCGCATGTATTTAACATCACCCGACTGCACCGTGACGGTGGCTCCACGCGCACGCGGCTCGGTTTGTTCCGTTGCGTAGCGATTTTAGGCGTGTACAATGTCAGGCGCGGACGAAACTCCAGCGAGCTCCTCGCGGATTCCCGGATTTTCTCTTGCGGCCGTCGGTGTGACATCATTCGGTGGGGAGGGGTTCCAGTTGGGCCAGCTCTCCCCTGGTGCTGACCCAGTGGCCCATGAAGAGGCCATTGCGGCGCGGCGCGCTTCGGAGGCGGAGCGATGGCAGAAGGCAATGGACGACATGCGTGCTGAGCGGCAGCAGTCGCCAACTGAACGTCGTGACCCGACTTGGACGCCGGGTAACGCGGATGCTGACGCTGCGAGTGACGGTGAAAGCGGTGGCGAGGATGGCGGGGACCGTGTGGGACAGAAGAGAGCACGTCAGGGTGGAGTCGCAGTACCTACTGCCGTGTCCGCTCCAGCTGGTGCCGCGTCTGCGGCTGCCACTACTGCTGCTCCCGCTACTGCTGCTCCCGCTACTGCTGCTGCTGCTACTGGTGCCGCGGCTCCTGGTGCTGCTGGCCGTCCGCCCTCTTATACTCCTGCAGCTGCTCGTGCTCGCGCTGCCAGATGCCCTCGCGCTACTGCTGCTGCTGCTGCTGCTGCTGCTGCTGCTGCTGCTGCTGCTGTGGCCACTGATGGCTCGCGCCGCATTGGTGTTTCCTGGGCTACTATCAATGCGATGCGGGAGGCCAACATCCAGCCGACGGACGCTGACCTGGATCCGATCGTGGAGGCAGCTCTGCGTAGGGGATAGCCGGGCTTGGTGAAAGGCATGTTCGGGGCGTTGAACAACGATTCCCGGCGATGCCTCACGTGCAACACGGTGATTGGTTGGCGTTTAGGCAACACTAGCTCGGGGGCCAGGCATGTGAAGCGGACGCACTATCCTAGCCTTCAGATTTGGGTCCGTCGCTTTCTGGACCCCAACAAGCCTGATTCACTAGATTTCCCGGATGGGGGTTGGGGAGCTACAGTTCCGGATAGGACGAAGTGGCCGTGGGAGCACGCTGCCACCTGGCCTGACGTGCCGGCAGCAGAGACGGGAGCCGGGCCGAGTGGGTTGACCGGAGGAGCTGCCGTCGGGGGGGGGGAGGCAGGGAACCATCGATCAGTACGTCACGACCCGAGTTGGAGAGCGGCAGCTGCGCGAGGGCTTGGTCATGCTGTTCGCCGGCCTTGACATCTCATTCCGTTCTGTTGACAGGCCAGCGGTAAGCCTAGTGCGCGTTTCCTTCTGTTCTGGCGCTGGATCGAATATACGTTGACATGCTATGCCAATCTCCTGCCACCACAATCTCCATCCTCTCCCAACCATGTTTCTGTCCCACCTCCTATATGGCAGTTTCGTGACTTCGTGACGCTGCTTAACCCCGACGCGGCACAGTATCTCGGTAACCGGTTCCGCCTTGCGCGGGACCTGCTGTCAGCGGCCGAGACGGCTAGGGCTTAGCTGCGACAGCTGTTGACGGGCGACGGTTTGGCGGGGCGGGTGACGCTCACCACGGACATATGGACTAGCGAGAACAACGTCGCGTTCATGGTGGTGACTGCTCACCGAGTGACTTGGACTTCCAGCTGCAGCAGATGGTGATCGACTTCCGGCCGCTGGAGGGCCGTCACACGGGGGATAAGATTGCGAAGGAGCTGGAGGACGTCATAGGGGAGTGGGCGTTGGGTGGTGGTGAGTTCTTCGGCGTGACGACGGACAACGCCGAGAACAGCTTTAGCGTACTGGCGTACTGGCGTGCAAAGTTTCGCATTGGAGCGGTGGTGCGGTGGTGCCGTAGTACAACATGCTCCTCGACATCCATTGGAGCGGTGGTGCCGCAGTACAACATGCTCCTCGACATCCTTGAGGCGAACAAAGTTTCGCCCTTCGTCTCGCAGCTGTTCAGGGACCTCTCAACCCGGGCCTTGACCAAGCTGGAACGTCACATGGGGAGGGTGAGCGAGGAGTGTGCGATTGCCACCTTCCTCGATCCTCGGCTCAAGACGGCAACCTTCAGGCTCAGGGCCCGGGGGGCGAGACCTACTGCGCCAGTTGTGGTGGCGGCGGGGGGGCATGCCATGGGTGCCAGGACTCTCGACGTGACCGAGGAGAGGGTGAAGGCGCTCGTGCGTGAGCGCCTTCCACCCTACCAGACAGCAGCGCGTGTAGCGGCAGAGGCGCGCCTTGGGGGTGAGGTCACGAGCGCTAGAGGAGTGACGGGGGAGGGCGTGGAGAGGAGCGGGGCTGCAGGGCGCAGGAGTGCCAGGTCGCGTGACGTGCTGGACTTTCAGGCTAGGCTGTTCGCTGAGTTGGCCGAGATGGAGGCAGAGGAGGGGGTGCGGGCACAGGACGAGGTGGACCAGTACCTAGCTGACGCGAGGCAGGAGGGTGGGTGCGCTTTAGCGTACTGGCGCGGGAGGGAGCTGCAGCTGCCCGGGCTTAGGGCCATGGCTCGCGATTATTTGGGTATCCCCGCCACGTCTGCAGCGAGTGAGAGAGCCTTCAGTCAGAGCAGGAACATCATCTAGTGGCAGCGGCACCGTCTGAGCCCATAGCAGATGCGTGCGGCCATGATGATCAAGACTTGGCAGGATCACCACCCTCACCAGAGGCTTGAGGTTCGTGGTGGCAGGACCACGATTGCGCAGCTGTGCCTTGAGGCAGAGCAGCTGGGGTTGTGAGAGCCGGCTGCCAGGGGAGAGCTGCTGCGGGGTCTTTTGTCATTGTGACTGTGGTGGTATTGCAGCTTCCTAATTATTAGGGACGTCCTTGTACTTGTGGTACCTTGCTTTGACAGTTGCTGTTTTGGGGTTTTTATTAGAAGACATGCATGTTGTTTGCAGGTACTATCTGCACATGTTGGGGCATACCCTATGGGAAACATAATTGCACTGATCTTGTTTCGTGGTGTCTATACAATGTCGCCACCCCTAGACTATTTTACAAGTCATTGCAACTGTTGTATTGCTTGCTAAACCATCCCACCTGTAGGTGGTATAAATATCAGTCTTATAAAAATAGAGTAACAACAAGTCTATTGATACAAATGTACAAATCAAGGGGAGAACCCCCACCCTCCCACTAAGGGGGCGGGTCAACCTGGCCCGACCCGGCCCGACCCGAACTCGGGTCCCTCGTGACCCGAGTCAGTAGGCTCGGGTCGGGCCAGCTGTTTGGGGAGTCTGGCCCGAGGTCGGCCCGACCCGACCCGACCCGAGGGCCCGTATGGCCCGGCCAAATCGGGTCGGGTCGGGTCGGGCCAGGCCAAATGCTCAACTCACCGTGGGGGTGCTATTTGCGTGTCCAATGCAGCCCTGTATGCTCCTCTCTCTACTCATTTCCCCTCTGCCAAGCAGTCTGAGCGACATCTTGGGGCTGGTGGTATCGGACAAGAACAAGAGCGAGGTGATAGTGGAGCTGAGTGGGTGGCTCCTTTTTTTCTTAGGATTCCAAAGCCATGGTGTAAGTTCTCATCTCTGTTTCTCACCCCATGATCGTGTGTGCCCCTCCTTGCCCAAGCAGTCTGAGCGACATCCTAGGGCTGGTGGTGTCCGATAAGAACGAATCTGAGGTGATAGTGGAGCTGAGTGGGTGGCGGGCGACGCAATACTTTGTGGCGGACAGGGAGGCGCTGGTGGGCAGCCTGGCGGAGGTCGCCAGCCACGCCAAGGCCCGCAACTTCTCCGTCCGCCTCGAACCCTTCGCCCACCACACGCTGCCAGAGAAGCCCCTGCCTCTCTACCAGGTCCGTGGATTGAGTCAGACTGAATAGCTGCCTCAAAATCTCTTGCCTCTCTAGCAGGTGCGTGCTCTGTGCTCCGTGTGTCTTATAGCTCCCCTCCCCCTCCCCTCCTCTCCTTTCTCCCCTTCTCCTACCTCATCACATGCTGCCAGAGAACCCTTATTGCCCTACCAGGTACAGAGATACATGGGTGTTTGATTTAATTCCCCCCTCAGACATGACAAACATTATAAATATCATTTGAGGTCAACCCAGGTCAGGGTCCCCCTCCATCAGAGGATCTAATTCAGGTCATTCCACCCCTCCTCCTTTCCCCTCCCCACCACACCAGAACGAGTACGAGATCTACCTGATAGCGCGCTTCATGACGGTGTTCCTGGCGCACCGGAAGCGGGAAAGCCAGTCAGTGACCCCTCTGTACGTGCCACACAACTCACTCACTCCATCCGTTCACCCTGATACTCCCCTCCCCACGTCATACCAGAACGAGTACGAGATCTACCTGATAGCGCACTTCATGACGGTGTTCCTGGCGCACCGGGAGAACCTCTCCGAGCTGACGCAGGCGGACGTGGTGGCGCAGTGGCTGCCCATGGTCAAGGAGTACGCCTGCAACATGCACCCCGGCGACTCCCTCTGCATCGACGCCCGCCCCATGCTCGCTGTCGCTGAGATGCTTCGGGCGAGTCTGGGTGAGTCCGCCTTCCCTTCCCTTGGTGCCTTTTCGTCCTTTCCCTCGGTGGCAGTGGCGGCCCTGGGAGAGGAGAGGAGAGGAAGTGTGCCCATGGGCGTCGCTGCCAGTGGGTGGCCAGGGTGAGGGGAGGTCTGTGCTCAGGTTAGGGGGTGGTGGCGCAGTGGCTGCCCATGGTGAAGGAGTACGCCTGCAACATGCACCCCGGCGACTCCCTCTGCATCGACGCCCGCCCCATGCTTGCTGTTGCCGAGATGCTCCGGGCTAGCCTGGGTGAGTCCGCCTTCCCCTCCCTTGGTGCCTTTCCCGAGGTTGGTGGCAGTGGCGGCCCTGGGAGAGGAGAGGAAGTATGCCGATGGGCGTCGCTGCCAGTGGGTGGGTGGCCAGGGTGAGGGGAGGTCTGTGCTCAGGTTAGGGCGTGGTGGCGCAGTGGCTGCCCATGGTGAAGGAGTACGCCTGCAACATGCACCCCGGCGACTCCCTCTGCATCGACGCCCGCCCCATGCTTGCTGTTGCCGAGATGCTCCGGGCTAGCCTGGGTGAGTCCGCCTTCCCCTCCCTTGGTGCCTTTCCCGAGGTTGGTGGCAGTGGCGGCCCTGGGAGAGGAGAGGAAGTATGCCGATGGGCGTCGCTGCCAGTGGGTGGGTGGCCAGGGTGAGGGGAGGTCTGTGCTCAGGTTAGGGCGTGGTGGCGCAGTGGCTGCCCATGGTGAAGGAGTACGCCTGCAACATGCACCCCGGTGACTCCCTCTGCATCGACGCCCGCCCCATGCTTGCTGTTGCTGAGATGCTGCGAGCCAGTCTGGGTGAGTGAGTCAGCTTGTGTGGCGTGTGGTGCTCCCCAGAACTCTCTCGGTAGAGTTCTCAGGGGCCTGGGCGAGTGAAGCTGTGTGCTCCGAGCCGGCCTGGGTGAGTGAGTCAGTTTGTGTGGCGTGTGGTGCTCCGCAGAGCTCTCTCAGTAGAAATGTCAGGGGTCTGGGTGAGTGAAGGTGTGTGCTCTGAGCCAGCCTGGGTGAGTGAGGTGAGGGTGTGTGCTCTGGGCTAGCCTGGGTGAGTGAGTCAGTTTGTGTGGCGTGTGGTGCTCTCCTCTCCAGAGCTCTCTCGGTAGAAGTGTCAGTAGCCTGGGTGAGTGAAGCTGTGTGCTCTGTGCCAGCCTGTGCGAGTTCTGGGCTTTGGGATGTGTGACGCCTGAGGAGCGAGTGTTATGCAATCAGCGATTTTTGAGAAATCTCAAAAAGCGATTTTCTAAGAATTCTAAAAAATCGCTGTCTGGACTTTGGGATGTGTGACGCCTGAGGAGGGAGTGTTATGCAGTGGTTCCAACACACCACTGGTTTCCCCCTTCATCTCATTGCTTTGTCTCCTTGGCTGTCTGTGTGCATGCATGTGTGTCTGTGTATGTGAGCATGGTCATGTGTGCATGTATGTATGTACGGGCATCCATGCATATGTGCGTGTCGACATGTATATATCCATCTATGTGTTGTGCATGCATGCGGATGTACCATCATAGCAGACTTAAAGCCAGGCCTGGGAGCATCGTACGCGGTGACATGCTGCTCAGTGGTGCAGAGGCTGTTGGGCACACGGGGCGTGTTTGAATCAGTCAAGTCCAACCCTGACTTCATCAGCATCCTCATCAAGGTGCGCCGTGTGCATGCATGCACCGTCCAACACCATAGTAGACTCAAAGCCAGGCCTGGGAGCATCGTACGCGGTGACGTTCTGCTCAGTGGTGCAGCGGCTGCTGGGCACACGAGGCGTGTTTGAATCAGTCAAGGCCAACCCCCGACTTCATCAGCATCCTCATCAAGGTGCGCTGCGCTCTCCTTCCCATGGTTTTCTTCATTCATGGCTGATTGGACACGCTATGCAGCTCTGCAATGTTTTTTAGGTGGACTGGAAGGACACACAGGGCGTGTGTGAATCATTCAAGTCCAACCTAGACTTCATCAGCATCCTGTGCTGTGTACCCTTGCTTCTTCCACTGCAGTCCACCTACGCACCATCCTTATGAAAGTGTGTATTCTTCTATGAATATAACACGTATGTCTTCCCCATCTGTCTGAATCCAAACCCTGAAGCATCCATCCTCAGTGGTGGCATTTGCAGCCTTTGGTGCAGCCAACACCATCCGTGCAGCCATCAATTGGTGATACGTCCACCCACACCATCCCTCTGCCCAACTCCCTTCCCATGTATGCCTGCCTGCTTGCCTGCCGTCCCCATATCTGTCCACACCAGGCCCTGAAGCATCCATCGTCTGTGGTGGCGTTTGCAGCAGCCAACACCATCCGT